ACCTGGGTAGACGCACTTGAGTAAAACCCACGTTCCCATTGCACCACTGAATGTTCTCACATTCAGACATAGATCTCGCAACATGCGGGGTGTGCGATAGACTTACCTCCACGTGGTGCACCCTGGGCAACGTATAATCATATGGCAAAATAGTCTATTAACCGGCAGTTGACTTCTGACTTCAAAATACCATGGCACGACTGCTTGTCATATTCGACCGCTTTCATAGTGCTCATCTTACCTTTTTCTCTGCCTTTGTGTCTGTCTGCCTCTTTTACATCTGTGAATCGCTCTTCTGTTCCCCGCCCCTCGACTTTATTCTACCTTGATGAACCTTCCCTCTGTGAAGCCCGAAGTCAATTAAAGGGCTAATGATAGCTATCAAAACGCCTGACATTTGAAATAAATAAATCTCGCAACATGCACTTTACCCCACTGTCCGCAAACTAAAAAGGCAATTTTGGCTCATCTGTAGTACTTGCATGGACGAATATGTTAGTTGGCAATCTTTTATTCTCATTTCAATTTCCTTCATTGAATTCGTTTCCACTCAATTCGCATGGTGATTGGCATACGGTCCCTTTGACAGATTTTTTGAGGCACTGTGATGCTGTGTGTCTAGCTTCTCCTGGAAGCCAACTCTCCCTCCCTCTGGCATCTTTTGATTTCCTATTGCAGTCACCTTTCAAACCTTTATCGTTTTAAGGTTGCTATTATAATAGTTCCTTGTTTGATAGGGGGTTCAAAGTACCCTCTCAATCTAGTAAAGCCGCTTACATAATCTGACTGTGTATCCCATTTAACAACAAGCAAATTAATCCAAATCGAAGGAATAAGAGTTGTGGTGGATCTGGGGGTTTTAGGAAGGGGAGCTTGGTTGCACGTCTGAGCGGTGTGCGGTTGTTTGAGCTAATAGATCGTGAGTCATTAAGAAATGATTAATAGCAACTTTTACGCAGATATTTAATCGTCACCGAAATATAACTGATTTTTATTTATTAGGCATTTAAATCGAAGAATGCAGAGGTTCATAAATGTTTGGCCGACACTTATTCAAAAATGAAAAATTACAACATTGCCCTTTCGCATTTAAGAAAAGCCAATAAACTATTAGAACACCCTGATGGGGAAGTGTTGAAAAAGATCATCCTTTATGAGAAGTACAGAAGCTCTAAGGCTTCCAAACCTACTGAATGCTGGCACAACTTCTGTCCCGAGCCTCCCGAGAGTCTTGTGGAACGACCAGAGCAGAAAACGAAAGCGGAGACCAAAACTAGCGGTTTCCCCTTTGTTAAAATTGGCCCTCTCCAATTTGAAAACACAAACTCAGAGCGCGGGTGGACAGTGGAAGCTAGAAGGAATATATCTGTTGGTAAGGGTATATGGTAGAGAAAATGGCATTTCCACATTTTCGTATATTTACTAGGTGAGGTGATTTTGAAGGAGAAGCCCTACGTCACTGTTCTTACCAATCCACGAACGAGAAATTGTTATTACTGCCACAAACGGTGCCTCGGTCTTCAACCCTGTAGTGAATGCCCTTATGTAAGTTAAATTTCAAGTGGAAGTAAGTCTATCGCGCATCCCATTATACAATATAAATCAATAATAATATAAGAAAACATTTATTTATTTATTTCAAATGGCAGGCGTTTTGATAGCTATCATTAGCCATTTAGCTGACTTCGGGGTTCACAGAGAGAAGATTCATCAAGGTAGAATAAAGTCGAGGGGTGGGGAACAGAAGAGCGATTCACAGATGTACAAGAGGCAGACAGACACCAAGATGGAGAAAAAGGTAAGACGAGAACTGTGAAAGGGGTCGAATATGACAAGCAGTCGGGCCATGGTAGTTTGAAGTCAGAAGTCAATTTCNGGGTGCACCACGTGGAGGTAAGTCTTTCGCACACCCCATAAAAGAAAACATCTAACTAGGATCATATAACAAAGGAATTAGGCTAATTGTCGAAAACTTGAAGGTCGTATACAATGGAAAGACACCGATTCCATGTACAATCATCAAGTTGAGACAGTTTGGAACACCACTTCATTTCCAATTGAGCCTAGTTTATTTTACTGCCCTCATTACCTAATCGACTCAATTATTCTCCGGAGGTAGTGACCGAATAGAAATCTTCAAAGACACAAATCAACTTTGTATTCGGCGGTGAATGACTGGAGATTTCGATTTCACCAAAATATGATCTTTACTCATTTTAGGTTGGATTTTGCAATGAGCAGTGCGAAGAAAACGCAAAGCATGTGGACTCATCAAATGACACAGAACCGGGTAGACATGCTTATGAGTGCCATGGCATACTTCCCTACCTTCTTATCGATCAGATTTCATCTCGTCAAGAAAGAGACCCGAGTTACACCGGCTGTGCAACAACCTGTCACCTCGCCTATAGATCCATAGCAAACACGCCTCAGGAAACGCTTATTGACTACATTACGCACTCTGGACGCTACAAAGTAAGTGTTGACTCCACAATGTCCAAAGTCTATTTGCTGGTACCTTATTACGTCTAACGCAGAGAGTTTAGTAATAGTGGTTGGAGAAAAGCTTTTATGTTTTTATAAATGGTAATTTTAGGATTATTTTCGTGGCCATCAGGCCTTCGAAACTTCAACGGTAGTTCGCAAAGTCCTACCACCAAGGAGATTAATGTCGACTGACTACTCCTCAATTGCTTGGCTAGACCCCTGCACCGAAAGGAGAAGTCGTATTGAGCTTTGGCAAAAGACCATGGCAGCCGTCTTTCTCACCTACTGCCTTTCGGTGAAGTGAATTTTTCTGCTTTTCGCAGTAATTAATTAGACCGCTTTCGCAGCGTCTTCTAATCGTTGTACCTTCCTATTTATTACTAGATTTCGGGTTATTCAATGAGCTGGTATGGAGACGATTTCTACAGCGCTCCTGATGCAGACGTTAGACCTAAAATTATCCCCGCGAGTTGGGTCGCTGCTTGTATTCTCTACCACTTGCAGGCCTTCACAATTAATTGCCAAACAAATATCCTACTTTCTTCTCCAACCCCAAAAGTGACTGATGCGGCTGTTAAGCAAATTGCCACTTCCGTGTATCCGACTTATTCCTTGATAAACCACTCCTGCAATCCCAATGCTGTACTTATTAACACCCCACAAGGTGGGATATTTGTCTTTGCTCTGCATCCTATTCCCAAAAACTCGGAAGTCACTGTCTCTTACCTCCACTCATGCTACTCATCCCCGGCAATCGCTCGACGTTTAGAGCTCAAATACCAGTACTTATTTGATTGCAACTGTGAGGCTTGCGAAGGGTTGTGGTATGAAGAATCCTTGAGTAAACTTGTAACACTAAAATGCCCCAAATGTGAAAATTTGTTCAGCTTTACTGAAGGTGTGTGTACATCGTGCAAATCAAGACGAGCACTAAAAGGCTATGAAAAGCATGTCCAGAAGATCCATTCCTTAATCAAGAAATGTTCAAACTATCTAGACAGCTCACCTGAAGATATAGTAAGTGCAACACTATCCTGGGGAACGATTCAGAATCTCTGCCAACCAAAGGGAATGGCCTTTACCTCCATTCGAACAGGTTATTTGAATTTAATGCGCCAGCAATGTAGCAATCTTGTAATCGAACCTTTTGAATTGAAATAACACAAGCACTGATCATAGTAGTCTCTATTTGTATGGCTGCTTTCCAATTATTACTGATTTATAGTCGCGTACTTCTACTGTTTTTTCAGCAGTGCCAGGGTGCTATAATTAATGTTCACTTGTGGCACATTACTTGGTGAATAAGCCTGAACCTATCCGAGGCAATCTCTAGGGCAAATCATCTCAACGATATAGAGGAAACAAACGTATTTATTTAGATCAAATGGCAGGATTTATGGTAGTTCTCATTACCCTTTAGTTGATTACGGGTTTCACTGAGGAAAGGAACATCGAAGTCACAGGAAGTCGAGGGGGGGGGGGGAAAGAAGAGTGTTGCACAGGTGTAAAAGAGACAAACAGACGCAAAGGCAGAGAAAGGTGAGGTGGGTACTGTGGAAGCAGTCAAATATGACATACAGTCAATTAGTATTAGCTTGAAGTCAACTGCTTGTTTAGACATTTTGCCGTAAGAATATACGTTGCCCAAGGCGCACCACCTAGAGCTAGGTCTATAGCGCACCCCAAGGAAACTAACTTACGACGTACAATACGTTTATTTGGGTCGTGTGGGTCTGATATAGGGGATTAGTCTTTAAAACGACTTTCTACGTTGACCATGACGTGGTTATTGACTATTGATTGGCTGAGAGGTCTCTGCACTCACTATCGCACATACACCTTAACGTGATCAGCAGCGTGGCCGCATTTGATGGCTACAGGATTATTTTCATTCCTTCCTTTCCCGAGAGTTCTTGCGTGGTCCAGCATATAAGCATTATGTTCTTCACAAGCTTATAAGAGGTAATCATCTCGGTGGTCGTCCTTTAGGGTTTTTTCTCCGTGCAGATTGATCAATATTCAGGAATTTTCGTTTACAGCATATTATTACTTTTATTATTGTAGAGAACAAGTTGATGATTACGCGATGCATATTTATTGAAGAGATCAGATAAACTCGTAAGGAGAATCGATAAACATGATCAAAATTCACATTGATGAATTTCTTTGTTTCTAATGAAATAAATAACTGAAAGGAACATTTATTATGAAATAAACCGTTCTGGATGCCATTTAAGGATTTTGTTACAGAAAGCAGAGGAAATACTAAAAGTTTAATAGTAGCATTCATAAAACCAAAGGCGACTTCACAGTTGACAGGTATTATGTGAACATATGATCTGGGCGTACGCTAGAAAAGGTGATGGATTTATATTAATCAATTTACGCCATAGCGACAATGGCTATAGGTCAAGAACCTAAAATAAAGGCAGGCATTTAAATTTTTTAAAGAAAATAGGGTGGAGGAAAATGGTAAATAATACTTTCTTGTGAAAAGTGTAAAAGCAAACAGGAGTATAGATAATAAGGTCTAAAAATCTTCAAAATATATAATATTTAAAAGACAAATAATGAAATTAAAATTTAAGTCAAAGCATAAATATAAAGTTTGTATGCTTTTCCTTATAACATTTTAGTGCCACAATGGGCCACATTTTCGTTTAAAATTATATCGTTGTAGCGCTAGAAAGGAATGGCCCGTCTTGCGGTAAAAAGCAAGGTATGTAGTAATTCTCTAGTTATTTTGCAGTATAATGCCGAATTCCGGCGTTTTCGTCTTGACCGCTCGCATTTACAGTGTTTCGAGGATTTATATCACGCTGTAGAAAAGGCGCATTCTCTTCAAAATGTGAGTTTTATTCTTCAGTATGTTGATCCAAAAGAGAGTACCCTTCTTCCTATTAACAATGATAAGAACTTTGAACGCGCCTTATATGTCGCTTCTGATTTACTCAGACTTCTTATCCAGCTTAAAGGTAATTATGGGGATTCTGGTATGTTTATGTAATAATTAGGTGAATCCTACGGAGAAATTAAGGGATATAGATCTTCTAGTACTGTATTTTTGCGAAAGAAACCCGCAGAACTTGTTCGATCGTTGGGATCGGAGAAGATTAAGCCTGGTCATCAATCTATCATACTTTGTGATGACTTCCACAAAATTTCTTCAATTATCGATGATGGGACGGTTCCAGAATGTATGAGAAGGTATGACTAGCGTAGTTGATTACTTGTGTCGATTGCTTTAGAGTGAGGTTGATCAGAACAGGATCTAAACCCTTGGGATTCTATATTCGTGATGGATTTAGCATGCGTGCAACGCCAAATGGTGTTCAACGTGTTCCTGGAATATTTATCTCTCGTCTTCTCCCAGGTGGTCTTGCTGAATCAACTGGTCTCTTAGCCGTCAAGGACGAAGTTATCGAAGTTAATGGGATTGAAGTTTATGGCAAAACCCTTGACCAAGTTACCGACATGATGGTTGCGAATAGCTCGAATCTTATAATCACAGTGAAGCCCTTTAATCAAAAATCTGTTATCCGAAGGTCAAAGTTCATGGCTCCTCTCCCGTCGGGTTCGAGTCTGGGAACAAATGGAGGAGGAACTGCGTCACCAAGTGTACATTCCTCTCAATCCTCAGGTCGAAGACAACCTCCTCATCCTCCAATAGAGTCACCCAAAAACGTCCCTGAAGTACCTGGAACTATTGATATCTAATTTGTGCTTTGATTTTCCCTTCCTTTACTTCTTCATATTCAGCCTACTTTTTTAACCGCAAACGTTCACACACACACACACACAGACATAAACCCGAAAAATAACACACTACATATGATCATTTCGTTCGCTTCTATTTTTTTGCGCACCAAATTGGCTGTGTCTTTCTAATTTTCTATCTTACTCAAATGGCCTTAACCGAGTAAGAAAATGGGCTTTTTAGGTCATGATGCCTTACTAATTCAGATAAGTTGTCTATTCTTTTTTTAAAAATGTGCAGCTTCCTTGGATTTATGGCACTATTAGTGCTAGTGATGGAAATACTTTTTTTCTATAGTCTAATAGGTGGGCTCCCATTTCGGCTTTCTTCAATAGAAAATATGCTAAAGCTTTTTGAGAGTGGTTTACTGGTTGCCCTGGCGATTATGCACCAATTGCGTATTTTCAATGAAAGAGATGGGGAAATTCAATTGCAGGTAATTACGGGACTTAAATTTAGGTGATTTGGAAGTAGGAGGTTCAGTTTCCTAAAGCACGAGGGATCTTAGTAATGAATTGAAATACGTAAGCGGCTTTCTGTTAAATCGTTTTCTTTGGTTCGCCTCTAAATTATTTATGGTCGGTATGAATTCGATAAGATTGCCTTCTTGCGATCATTCATTTTGTTAAGTATCGTTGTTCGCTTGTATGATCATATTTACTTCCATGGTAAACTGCAATTCAGATATTTCTTTTATAAAAAATAGTGATTTTCGAGGATGGGGCAAAGAGCTCTCAGGCAATTTTCATGAATATTTTTATTATTTATTAAGTCGTTGCATTCATTTGCCTAAATTGGCTCCATTGTTGTTATCTACATTTCTCCTCTGGTAAATCCCTCGTGGTAGAATTTTTTGGGGTTTTCGGGGGGGGGGGAGGGGGCAAAGGGGCTGTCTCCGGCACCATAAATTACATGCTTTTTCGCTTCAACTAAAGGCGTAAATCGAGTACCTTTAAGGTGTTCTTCCAGTTTTGGAAGCTAAAAATATCTGCGGGAGCCAAGTTTGGACTGTAAGAAGGATGTGGAAGTGTGCGTCATTGAAATTCGCGCAATAGGGCCCTGACAGCTCTTGAAGAATGTTCAGGAGCATCGTCATGGTGAAACAAGACTTGATTATGCATTTTATCACGACGTTTTTCGGCAGGGAATGCCATTAACTTCAAAACGCCTTCGTAGGGACCTGAGGTGACCGTTTTCTGCCCTCGAAATCTATCAATATCACTCATTTTCGAATCCCAAAAATAGTGGCCATGACCTTCGAAACGGAACTTTCAGGTTTGAACTTGACAGGCCCAAATGTTCCCTTTGGATTCCACTGGTTTGATTGAGTCTTTTTTGGAAATCAAATTGGTATATCTAGGTTCCATCTCGAGTAACACAGCACTTTAACTAATTATCCTCATTTACTTCCACCTTTGGTAAAGCTGTTAGAGAAAGTTCAGCTCTTTGAATTAGCTGTTGTTCCTACAATGCTCTTGGAACCCATTGTGCTCACTGGGAGCTTGCTCACTTCAAGATTTTCAGGGAGAATCGAAAGTACTGACTCGTCTGCGATTTGTACTTCATTGGCAATTTCCTCAATGCCAGCTTGTCAACAAGAGTGATGCTTTCTTGATTCCTTTGCTGTGGTGGGTCTTCCCTCTCGTGGGTCATCATCAAGTTGCACTCCGCTCTCTTTGAAGCGTTCGGGCAAGTCATGATGCAGAGTCCCGAAGAACCTGTTATAAATTTCTATGATCTGAACAGGTTTCCGATTCCGTTTAGTCGGAGTGTGCGATAGACTTACCTTCACGTGGTGCACCCTGGGCAACTTTTACTCATACGGCAAAAAAGTCAACTAGCCGGCAGTCGACTTCTCACTTCAAACTACCATCTCCACACTGTATGTCCTATTTCACCACTTTCACAGTACTCACCTCACCTTTTCTCTGACTCTTTTACATCTGTGAATCGCTCTTCTGTTCCCCTCTCGAATTTTTATCACTTTAATGTTCCTCCTCCCCTCTGTGAAGCTCGAAGTCAACTAAGGGGGCTAATGATACTTTTCAAAACACCTGCCATTTGATATAAATAATTCAGTTTAGTCAAGGTTTTATCTTAGCTCATGCCATATGCCACTTGAGGGGTTAAAATAGCCAGCTATTTTGAGATGCAACCTGCCTTGATCCTGACTTGGCATAGAATCATCAGACGGTTGCCTATTAGTACGGAAGCCCTAAAAACATGTTTAAACTTATAAATCTTCACTCTTTAAAATTATGACAATTATTAATAGAAAGCAACTCAAGCAACCTCCACTTGTTTACAAAAGGTGAGAATGAACTGCGTATTTCCGATTCTCGTGCAGTTTCCTGAGCGTTGAATCAGAAAAAAATGGGCTCATTAACTTTTGTTGTGGCGTACAAATGAATTCCCACTTTCGAGAAGACGTTCACTCTATAGTGCAAGCGCTGATAAAACTTCTTCTTGTGTGCGTATGTGTGTGTGTGTGTGCGCGTGTGTGAACCAATGTGCCAGATAATGGTAGATCGTGTTGTCATGCTTGAAGAATGATTGAGGTCACATGCCCACACACTTGTGGCAGAGTGGTGGTCACGTTTTTTTCGAGGCGAGAGCATGGTGGAAGTGGATGTGTGTGGGTTAGTCATTCCCGCACTCACTTAGTTATGCTAATGCACCCTAAAATGCGAAGTGGATTGATGGAATTTAGGATATGTGTTCAGTTGAGTTATTATTTATTTATTTCAAATGGTGGGCTTTATGATACTTATCACTAGCCCTTTAGCTGACTTTGGACTTCACAGAGGGAAGGAACATCAAAGTGAGAAAAAGTCGAGAGGGGAGGGGGAGGAGGAACGGAAGAGGGATTCATAGATGTAAGACAGACAGACACAAAGACAGAGAAAAGGTAAGATGAGTAGTTTGGAAATGGTAGAATATGACAACCAGGGGGAGGGGGGTCGTGGTAGTTTGAAGACAGAAGTCAACTGCCGATTAATAGCCTTTTTGCCTTATGAGAATACGTTGTCCAGGCTGCACCACTTGGAGGTAAGTCTATCGCACGCCTGCTTGGAGTAATTATAGATGTTCGATTTCAATTTCATTTCCTCATCTTTACCTACTTGATGATCCTCCCAAAAAGGGATGAATAAAATCAAAGGTCAAAAATCAATAACCTAGTAAATCGAAAGATCAGGGTGATAATAGAGAAGTCCCGTCCTGATAGTGAATCATTTAGCATTGATTACTGCACACATTGGAAGAAAACTTGATTGCAATCTTATGGCTATACATCCAATAATGTTGAGACCCACTGTTGAGGCAGAAATTCCCACCTCAAAGGAATGCAACCAAATGCAGTTAAAGGTGAAACTGGCGTTGTATGTATGCGGGTGTGGTTGAGTGTGTGTGTGTGTGCGTGTGTGAGTGTGAGTATGTGAATTTTTTATAACTCATGCGCAACAACCAGCAAAGACCTCAGGTGACGCTTTTCCGGCAAGATGTACTATTGGAAGATAAAAGTGGGTGTGTAGTGAATGCTGCAGAAGTATACAGCAGAATCCTCCTTTATCAAATTGTCCTAGAATTAGGCTTGCTATTTCAACAGTAGCGAATGGAGTGAGTGAATGGAGATGACAGTGTTTACTACAGCTTTGAAGCCGCTGACGCAAAACGTAGACGTTGAAAAGTTCAATTATAACTACGCTATGATACAGCAACTTTTGATTAGCTGTTGGCTGAGAGGTTTCTGTACTCAGAACAGCACCTTTCCAAGAGTTCGAATGCGTAAGTGACTTTTTATTCATCCTTGGTAGGGTTATGTACCCCGCAAGTGAGATGCGGCTCATCATTTCTCCCAAGTCCATAAAAATACTACGAACTCTTTGAAAAAAACCACAAATATGCTCTGAGGTACAAAATGAAGTAATACAAATCTGTATTCTATGTTTCCAAAATCTCTCCTCCATAATTTACTATTGGCAAGTAGGCCAGTGTTTTGAATAAGCAGATGTATTCCAAGTATTCTTCCTCCCCTGGAATACCGTGACGTAATAGCATGTTGGTACGTGGTCGAACAGATAATCCATGGACGTGTATTATCTACAAGGTTTGTTACTGATTCATGGGGCCTAATATTCACATAAATAGCTAATTTCGCTAAGAAAAGGCCTAATTATCAACCTATTTGTTTAATTTTCATGTACGCAGCTATTGACAGTCCTCCCAATGTTGTGCTGTTTGAATAAAGGCACACAATCTAGTCATCTTTCACCTCACCTATTTCCATAATCATCTGGACTCACTGGTGATGCGCAAATGCTAATTAATCGTCCAAAATCACTTGAAAGCACCTGCGCATGTATGTATGTCGCATTAGAAGAAGGGGCCTTTTCGGAGTTACTAGAGGGCCACAGGCCGCGTCCAGAATCTGAATGTTAGGACGTCATAAACAGGTGCGTATATATATATATATATTTCGCGCTATGGATTACTTATGCTCGACAATCAGTAAAATTAATTACAAGGTGACGGTGCATGATATTATTCACAAGTATTAAAAAGTTCTCGAGTCCACTGAAACATGCAGTCAGTCGAGTAACAATGTGGAGGATGCTGGCTAAACTGGATGACAGGATATTTTTAATTTCATATGAAGAGGTGGAATGTTGGGTGTAGAATATTTATTTATATATATCAAATGGCAGGCGTTTTGATATTTATCATTAGCCCTTTAGTCGACTTAAAGCTACACAGAGAGGAAGGAGCATCAAAGTGAAAAGTCGAGAGGGGGGGAGGGAGACAGAAGAGTGTTTCAAAGATGTAAAAGAGAGAAAGACACAAAGATAGAAAAAAAGGTAAGTTGAGAAGTTTAGAAGTTGTGGAATATGACATACAGTGGGGTGATGGTAGTTTAAGGTCAGAAGTCAACTGCCGGTTAATAGACTTTTTGCCGTATGAG